GGGGAAGATAAATGCTGTACCCTTGTGAGGCAATGAAAGAATGTGTGATTTCATGTGTGAAAGTTGTGTATTCAGGTCACACCAGGGTCAATACCTTGTTCTTCCTGGGGGGCCACTGGTTGCTAAAACCTTCCACCCTGAGGGTGTGAGGTGTACGCAGCTAGAGCCTCTGCTCTTGGGCCGTTCTCCTGCTCTTGGACTTTGCTCATGCTGCACCACTTTCCCTTGGTGTTCCCTTTCCCTGAACTGCCCCTTAACTCACAAAGTGTCCTTCAAGGACCTGCCTTTGTGCTATTCCTGTTGCTAACCTGAAAAGGCTCCTTCTCTTGAAGCACCTGTCCTATGAAACTTGGCCTACGATTGTGGCCCAAGCACCAAACCAGAAGCAATATGGCACCCCCGATCACATGAAAATGCTTGGATTTCAACAGGGCATCAAGGAATATAACAGAACATATAGTCCTGAAGGATGGGCCAACACGCAGCATTGGTAAGCAGAAGCAGGACATGTTTGGCATTCCTTGGCCCCCAGTCTTTTCTTCTTGTAGAGAATGCTCCTTGTTACTTTCTCCCATCTGGTGCCCCAGAACAAGACACACATGGGCCTCTTTACTCTACAGATGTTTTGCTCTGAGGTGGGGAAGGCCAGTGTGGTGTACAGAAACAGTGGTAGCAATGCTGCCCTTGTGAATACCACACCCCACCCACCATTATCAATCCATACATATTCCACGGTCCCAATCTCAGTTTCACCTTGGTCTTATCCCAGATTTTCTGTCCAGTCACCTCCAGGCCAAATACCATGCCAAGGATCTTTACCTCATGGGGGACAGAATACTGCAGATCTTCAAGTTCTTCCAGTGCTAGGCGGGTACTCTTGCCCATGGTAATCTTGGTCTCTGCCACTGCTCCATACACTTGGGAGTGTTGTAACAAATTTTCCATTGAGCTTTTCTCCCTACATGGGACAGTGAGGTCATCTATGTACGCCAGGACTTTTGCATCACCCCTGCATTCCCTGGGAGCCTCCACTCCAGGGATACATGGTCTCTACTGAGCTGTTGGTCTAGCAGTTACATCACACAAATTAACAGAATCAGTGAGAGCGGGCAGCCTGCCACACATCCAACTCCATCATGATCAGGGTTGTCAGAAACTTGTGCACCAGCACCCTGTTGCTCACATCAGTGTACACCATCTTTATCCAGCCGATGAAGGTCAGGAGGACCCCTATCTTCTTCAGCATCTTGAAGAGCAATCAGTGGGATACTCAGTCATACCCTTTTCCACATCAAGTTTCAGCACAGCGATGTGCAACCTTCTCTCCTGTTGGCACCACAGCACATTCAGCAGCAGCAGCAGGGCTCCATGCCATCCTGGCACCACACATGTCTTGCCCTTGTCCATCACTGCACCTATAACCAACTTGAAGCACTCAGCCAAGACTTTAGCCATCAATTTATACTCAAAGTTCAGGAGCATTGTGGGCCTCCAGTTCCTCAGCTCCTTCCTGTGCGGGCCGGGAGGGGTCCCAGGTTCTCGGGGGCTTTTGCGTGGGCTGTGGCCAGCAGCCGTGGCACGCGGGTCGGGGAATGCAGGCCAGCGGACTAGAATTAGGCACGGACACTTAAAGGTTGTTTAAGATCGTTTACTTACACCGTAGATGGTCGCGGTGTAGGCTGGAAAACTTCCAGGAAAAGCTTCGCTTAAGTTCCAGTTTCAACTCATAAGGACTCGGACAGAGCTCTGGATAAACTCACACGAAGCTTGCTAGACTTCGTGGAACTTGCGCGCAGGGAAGAGGGGTTTGTCGAAGGATTGCGCTCGGCGACGGGGAGGGGCCAGAGGTTGATCAGACCTCTATAGCCAGCTCTAAGGCACACGCGGGGTTTGATAAACTCCACAGCGCACCTAGAGTTCTCCTCAAGATGTTTACGGAGTCCTCCCTTGCGAGGTTCTCCTCCGGAGAGCTCCAACTTGGGCGGAAACCGCTCCCCAATTGGGCGGAAACCCCCTAAAGCCTCTTATATGGCTAGCAGGCCAATCGCTAGCCGCCACGTGGGAATAATTTAGAACTGGCCAATAGTGGGACACAAATTTGCATGCGAATGGCGGGAACTCCTTGCATCGTGCATTTCTCTTTTGCAACCTAGAAATGCACCCTGCAAAGAAAGCTACGAGTGGCGGGAAATAATTTAGCAGTGCTGAAGCACACACAAACAAAAATCACACCCTTGGGTTGTGACACTTCCTTGTCTGCTTCTTGTAGAGAAGGGTTATGGAGCCCTGAGTCATCCCAGTCCATGGATGACCATCCTGCAGCTACTCCCTAGAGACCTCCAGCAGCTCTGGGCCAACCTGGTTCTAGAAGGTAACATGGAACTCCTTGGGCAGTAGATCTACCCCAGGAGTCTTACCATTCTTGAAGCTGTGCTCAGTCTTGGTGGCCTCCTCCACCATCCTTTCCTCCACAACCCAGATCCCTGTTCATGAAAAAAGCGATATAAGCATGAAAAATGTTACTATTTCCTTTGAAAAGAAAAAACAAAAACAGGGAGACTATATTCCAATTGATTTATACACCGTGCATTGTGTCCTATTTGGGTGCATACATATGCATTACCCAGTGTGCATACTCCAAGCAAAATGCAAACTGTGATAATTAAAAACAGGGCTATCAGTGCTGTGGTATTAGCAGCCCTAATACATGGTCCCCTTTGTCTCAAGGTTTCTGATAGTTAAAACTTGCTACTAAAACTTTTGAAAGTAATGGGATCTAATCAAACTTTTCTAATAGCAAATCACAGATAGATGTGTTTTCTTAAGGAGAATTGCTTACAGGGGCTACTATTGCAAGCTCTGAAAATGAGGGAAGAAGAGAACATTGACCCTTTAACAAATCATTCCCCTTTGCTTTTTCAAATTCCTTTAAAGAAGTACTTATAAAGCATACAAGCACAACATGAATTACAATGCCACTGACCAAAAACAATTTGCAAGGGAAATAAATATTCATTACAGTTGCTTATACACTGCATGCAAAAAATCCCCCCAAACTAACAAAACCCTAGCATCTGGTACAGGTCAGCAACAAGGAATAGATTTCATAGATTTCATAGACATTAGGGCTGGAAGGGACCTCAGAAGATCATCGAGTCCAGCCCCCTGCCTGAGAAGCAGGAAGTCAGCAGGAGTCATAGGATCCCAGCAAGATAAACATCCAACTTTCTCTTGAAGGCATTCAAAGTAGGTGCATGAACCACCTCTGATGGCAGGCTATTCCAGACCTTGGGGGCTTGGACAGTAAAGAAGTTCTTCCTTATGTCCAGCCTGAAACGGTCTTGGAAGAGTTTATGACCATTCAACCTTGTCATCCCTTGGGGCGCTCTGGTGATCAGACGTTCCCCCAGATCCTGGTGAACATCCCTGATAAACTTATTGGCAGCCATCAGATCACCCCTGAGCCTGTGTTTTTCCAGGCTGAAGAGTCCCAGGGCTCTCAGCCTGTCATCGTAAGGTCTGTTTTCCTGACCTCTGATCATGTGCGTGGCTCTCCTGTGGACTCTTTCAAGCTTCTCCACATCCTTTTTGAATTGTGGAGCCCAAAACTAGACGCAGTACTCCAGCTGTGGCCTCACCAAGGCCGAGTACAAGGGGAGAATGACGTCCTGGGATTTGCTTGAGAAGCATCTATGGATGCAAGCCAGCATGTTGGTTGCTTTACTAGCAGCAGCATCACATTGAAGGCTCATGTTCATCTTGTGGTCAGTCATGACCCCCAAGTCCCTTTCATCCATAGTGGTAGCCACCATAGCACTGCCGAGCCTATAAGCATGCTGGGGGGGTTTCTTCCCAAGGTGGAGAACCTTGTATGTTTCAGTGTTAAACACCATCAGGTTCTCGTCCGCCCATTTCATGAGCATGTCAAGGTCAGATATGTCAAGGTCAGATCATGCTAAGGAAATCAGATAATTTAGCACCAAAAACACACAGCAAAAAAAAAAAACTTAAAAAAAAAGACCAAAGCATCAAAAGAAAAAAACAAAAAACACCTCTATTATTAAATTTTCCATGAAGAGGTTCACATCTCAGAGTGCCCACCCCCATCTTACCCTGCAGGGGAAGCAGAACAGTCATAGTAGCTGGCAACAGCTGCACCATGGCAGCACCACCTGCTCACTTTGCACTCAGGAGAGAACATTACAACTCCCTGTCGTAGGTAGTGAGACCAATCAATTATTTATTAATTTTTAATTTTGTTTCAAGGGCAAAAATCAGTTGCAGGTTCAGTTGGGCAAGGCCCAATCATTGAGTTACAAATTTCAAATGAACATAGCACAATTGTTCAGGTATTTGTGGCTCTACCACTTGTCAAGCATCTTCTCTCCTAGACCTGTTAGTTTAGGACTTAGGATGCCTGCGATGGATTTGGTGAGTATCCAATCTGAAAGCCCCACTGCCCAGAGGCTTTGGGATTTAGATTAATCCTAATCTCAGTTGTTCCTAGCCAAAAAAACAAGGAGCAAGTCCAGGGGAAAGCATGAATACAGTCCCCCGTTACCACAAAATAAGTCACTTAAGTTTAGTGCATTTGGGGAAACTCTCAGAGGCCAGCCTGACCAGAGTGCAGTGAAGAGGCACCCCATGAAAACCACCTTCATAATCATGGTATTTCCTCTGGCAGACACTTTTCTTTCTACAAATTTCATTTCAAGGACTAAATCAGTTCCATATTCAATTAGGGAATACCCAATAAACAAGTTCCTAATTTCAATAGACCAGAAATCAATCACTGAAGTTTGTTTCATTCTATCACTGGGCAGGTGTTGTTGGCTACAAATGTCCAACTCAGGATCCTTAAAATTCTGGTTTATTAGGCAGATTGAAGCACTGTAATGAAGTTAAATCATAAACCTTGGGGCTGGTCCACACACACACACACATGCACACACATGCACACACACAGTAGCAAGCTACAAGAGTCAGGTATACCTATCCCACAGGCACTGGAGTCTGCCGTTGAGGCTTCTTTCAGCTTGGTGTTATCTTCCAGAAGTGGGTCGCCGGCTGGTCCTCCTGGCTGGACAGGTCGGGTGCTGGTCAAGTTGGAGATCAAGAGGGCGCCACTGAGGGTCACTTTTCACTGCTTTTTATCTGTCCTTGGCAGACTTTGGTGACTCCCAATTTTCAGGTTTGCCCAATCCAGGGGTTGTTGACCCTCGTGGGACTTCCCCCTCGGTGGCTACTGGATGGCATCTGTCAGCCCCAGGGGTCGTCCGCATGTACGTGCAAGTTTGGGAGTTCGTTGATGAATTTAGAATAGGGCTCTGGGAGCGGTCGATCTGGAGATATTCAGCCCAAAAGTTGGTCCCCAGCATTGATTAACTCAGGCCAGGGCTTCTAGCCCTTGATCAGTGAGGTTTAGAGATTTCCTGGTTGTTATATTGCCTTCTATTGAGTTCTTCCGTTGGTTGATCTGTAGTTTCCTTAGGTGTTAATTGCTGCCTGCTACCATGTTACACATTCAATCACTGATTCACTCACTCTTTCAGGGGCCAGCCTGATACAGGGAAGGGCAGTTTGATTCCTGCCCTTGTTAACATTGTTACAATGTATAACTTACTTATGAAACTAAACACATTTAGTTGAAAGTTGAAAGGTGAGGAGTATAAAATATAAACTACAAGAGTAATGCCATGGCACACAAATAGATAAAAATACCAAAATACAAGGGGAGATACAAAATGCACACATACAAATTTCAAAACACAATTCCTTATCTTAAAGTGAAAGAAAGAGGAAGGAAGGAAAGGTAGAAGAGGAAAAACATATCCAAGGAGGGCAGAGCAACTGCAGGCAAGAGGAAAAGGGGCTTTCTGCTACAGTGTCCTCCCTCTCAGACCCATCAGTTTGGAGTTTCAGATACTCCCCAAATCCATGGGAGGCAACCTATATTAAAGACTCAAAGTCCTGAGGCCTTGAGATTCAAATGCCCCCTCATCACACAGGCTCTTAGCCAAAACATATATATATATAGAGAGAGAGAGAGACATAGAGAGAGAGATGGAGACTCTCTGTTTCTATACCTATCTCTTTTTCTTTCTATCTCTATCTCTCTCTTTCGACCTCTCTACCTGTATCTCTGAAGATAAGGGTGGGATTAGAACTGAGAGGTGGCTGTCTTGGGACCCATGTGAGGAAGAACGAGGCAAACAGTCAACTTACCAGGAGACCCCAACTAGGGGGCCCATGGGACTAACACCGGACTTTCAATCTAGTAGGCAAATTTCAACAAGCCCGGAACATCTGGTGTGGTTAGGGCAGGGTATGGGGATGGTGGAGCCCTGTGAAGATAAACAGACCTCCTGAGCCTCTAACTTATTTTTGTCTCCCAGCGTGTTTAGTACCTCTCTAACCATCAAAGGCGTGGCAGAAAATGTTAAGGGACAGAACACAACTGTTACAGCAGAGACACAGCTCAGCTCCAGGCAGCACAACCCCACTCCCTTACAGAGAGAGACAGAAACAGAGACTGTCTAAAAGCAAAAATATCCAGTACAACATCAGCCTGCTGAGACCTCTGCCAGTACCCCAGGAAGGGGCTAGCAGTATCACAGTGCAAAGACTAAATGGCCACCCTTGACACTGCAAAGCAACACCTGAATTGCCCAATGTGCCTGGAAGGTGGGCACTGTCTGCTGGAAGACAGCATGCTTAAACTCCAGTGACAGCCGTGCCTGTACCAAAACCTTGAAGAGTTGCAGGGTGTTGTCTGAGCCAGCCCCGGCAAGTCAGTTCTTGTGGCTCTTGAGGGTGACCATCTTAGCCTGGCCGAGTAAGAAGTTGGCCAGGCAGAAGATATCTCCATTGGCCACCCGGTACAGGAAGGAAAACAAATACATGGACTCTGAGAGGTCCAAACCTAGCGCCTCAAGCAAAGTGCTGAGGGCAGCAAAGAGCTATGACAATCAGGGGCAAGTGAGGAAGGCATGGTTAAGATCCTCCTCCACTCCCCTTGGACAAAAGGGACAGGCCACTGACACAGCCGAGTCCATGTGACGGATGAGAGTGCTGATGGCCAGTATCCCATGTAGCAACTGCCACTGGAGATGGCCAGTTTTTTTGGAAATCGGGGGCCTGTAAAGCATACACCAGGCAGGGCAGGCTGGCAGGAGTGCCAGTGCCCCTACATGCTTCCGCCACATCACATTGAGATGACTGGCAAGGATGCAGGACTGGCGGACCCAAATCACTTCCAGATACAGGGCCTTCCAGGGGAGGGCGTCAAAGTGGTTCCTGGTACTACTGTCATGGAAGTGAACATCTTGCAACAGACTAGTATTCAGGCACCAGTAGGGTGCTCGGGAATGTGTCCTGCCAGGTAGGCTCAGGACACAAGTGACCAGGCTGTGATCTGATAGTCATAGATTCATAGATTCATAGATGTTAAGGTCGGAAGGGACCTCAATAGATCATCGAGTCCGACCCCCTGCATAAAGTGTGCTGGTTCAGATGACCCCAGCCAGATGCCTATCTAACCTCCTCTTGAAGACCCCCAGGGAAGGGGAGAGCACCACCTCCCTTGGGAGCCTGTTCCAGACCTTGGCCACTCGAACTGTGAAGAAGTTCTTCCTAATGTCCAGTCTAAATCTGCTCTCTGCTAGCTTGTGGCCATTATTTCTTGTAACCCCCGGGGGCACCTTGGTGAATAAAACCTCACCAATTCCCTTCTGTGCCCCCGTGATGAACTTATAGGCAGCCACAAGGTCACCTCTCAACCTTCTCTTGCAGAGGCT